ATACCCAGTGACTTTTTGGCAAAGGCCATTAGATATATAGGTCTGGGAGAGAGTGAGACACTAGGAGGGATAAGCATGCTTTAGAGCCCTCCTCCACTTGGTACACAAGGCCTAGCCCAGTTATCAGGAAACCTGAGTTTCTAGCACTGGGGCGTGACTTCCTTGACGGCAAGATGGTCTCATTCATCTGATTGGATGTAGGGGTGAGGCTGAGCAGTACAGTTTAAACAATCTAGTCAAGAATGCTGTTTAACAAATATTTGTAAATATAACTAAAGTAAAATGGAGGAGAAAATAGGTTCAGAAAGACAGGTGGGACCATGTAGATATTCACTGTTCATTTACCGTGTTTCCCCAAAAATAAGACATCCTCCGAAAATAAGACCTAGCACATGAAAAGATAAGACATCCCCTGAAAGTAAGACCCAGCGCAACTTTGGGAGAAAAAATTAATATAAGACACTGTCTTATTTTCAGGAAAAAGGGTACTTATTCTACAAACATTGACTCAGTATATGTCCCACTGGCCAGCCCTGTGCTGAGGACCCAGACAGATGTTTCTCGCAATGCAGTTTGGTTGTTTGCTGGGAGCACAGCCACTGGAGAGGAGAGCTGTGTGTACGAGAGGGGTGAGGGGAAGCATCCTGACTTCTCTAGGCTTCTATGCGCCTCTGACTTGGTGATGAGGCAGGTTATTGGAGATCTAAGGCCTTCTCAGCTTGGGCATCTGTATTCTCAGCCACAGCTATATTTCACTGAGAGGCCCTGCTCTGAGGCTCAGCCACAAACTTCATGCAAAGCCATGATCCTCTTTTTCCTGGTGTGTGTTTAATATAAATCAAATTATCCCTTCCCTCCTTACGTGGCTAGTCCTACTCTCACCCCATTCTCATAGCAGCCTGCATCTGAGTGCTCTGCCACAGAAAAAAGCAGGCTATAAATACTTTGTGGCAACACTGACAACTTAGCAAATACAGACCCACTTAGGGACAGAACTTTTCTACTCCTATGCTGAATGTTTCCACCACTTATGAGCCATTCTGTTTGCTTTTTATAATTTTTTTTGTCTCCTCTTGCTATCAGACTACTAGGTATCTGTGAAACTATCTTTAAAAATTCAGGTCCACCAATATTTATGAATCACCAATATACATCAGGTTCCATGCAGAACCCTACTAGTTGCTACGTCTATCTGTTAAAAAAAATCACAAAACTGATTTTGTAAAAATTGTGGGTAAAACCAGAGTTCATAGGCCCTATGTAAAATCTATGAACCATCCTATCTAATAAAGAAAGAATATGCTAATTGACCATCATGCCCTCACAAAGATGTGGGGACAATAAGGAGGGAATATGCTAATTGACTGTCACATCCAATAAGGAGGGAATATGTTAATTGACTGTCACATCCAATAAGGAGGGAATATGCTAATTGACTGTCGCATCCTCAAAGTTGGCAGCACCCATAGCCACAAGATGGTGGCGCCCAGTCTCCTCAGCCCCGCTGGGGCAGCAGGCATGCAGTACTTCCAGGCCCACCCCCAGGCAGGTCTGATCGCTCCACCTGTCTGCCTCTGGAGTCCCCCAGTCCCCTCAGACCTCCAGCCACCCAGGGCCTGCTAGAGGTGCAGGCAAGCCTCAGATGTCAGCTGCCTATCATCAGGGCCAGCCTGAGGGACTACCAAATGATTGAACAAGAAGGCTGCATGGGCCAACCAGGCTGGCAGGGGGATTAGTGAGGGACAACCGAATGACTGAACAGCAGGCTGCATGGGTTGACCAGGCAAGTAGGGGGGCTGTGAGGGGTGACCAGGCTGGCAAGGGAGAGAAGTTGGGAGTGACCAGGCCAGCAGAGGGAGCTATTGGGAGTTATCAGTTCAGCAGGGGGGTAGTTGGGGGTGACCAGGCCAGCAGGGGTGGCAGTTGGGGGCAACCAGGATGGCAGGGGGGATTAATGAGGGACGACCAAAGGACTGAACAGCAAGCTGCGTGGGATGACCAGGCTGGCAGGGGGGTCTTGAGGGGTGACCAGTCTGGCAGGGGGGCAGTAAGAGGCAACCAGACTGGTGGTGGGGCAGTTGGGGGCGATCAGGCCAGTGAGGGGGGGTGCAGTTGGGGGCAACCGAGCTGGCGGGGCGGGGGGCAGTTGGGGGTGATTAGGCTGGTGTGGGAGGGCAGTTAGGGCTGATCAGGCTGACACACAGAGGCAGTGAGGGATGATCAGGCTGGCGGGGGGGGGGGGGGGACAGTTAGGAGCAACCAGGCAGGTGAGCAATTAGGAGCCAGCAGTGCAGAATTATGAGAGGAATGTCCAACTGTCGGTCTAGACCAGGGGTCCTCAAACTTTTTAAAGTGGGGGCCAGATCATGGTCCCTCAGAGAGCTGGAGGGCCGGACTATATGAACTACTAATTCCTACTGTAACACCTCGGCTGCGCTCACTGCCCAAAAAACCTGGCGGGCCGGATCAGACTCCTCTGCGGGCCGCATGTGGCCCGCGGGCCGTAGTTTGAAGACGCCTGCTAGACCAGCCGTTAGACATCCCCCGAGGGGTCCTGGATTGGAGAGTATGCAGGTTGGGCTAAGGAGATCCCCTCCCCCCACTCCCATGCACAAATTTTGTGCACCAGGCCTCTAGTCTAGTATAAGTAAAGTATATTGGCCTTAGTGTAAGCTCTTAGCTCATTAAAAATGACTTTTGTTTCTCTCCTTACTATTAGCTAGTACCAGAAACAGGGCTGGTGACACCTGTGTTCTAGAAAGTTGAGATTGCCAGATAATTAAACTGTTGTGGTATTGGACATCATTTTTGATGTCCAATTAAAGACTACCATTATTAAAGACTAGTCATTTTTAGTGTGCTGCCAAGCTGCAGGGTTTAGTGGTATTGCCTTGGGCTGGGTAGGGGGGAAATAGTAGAGGGGGAAGGCTGTGCAGTTAGATCATATGCCTTTTGTGTTTTACAGCTTTATGTGTAAATTGAGCTTCAAGGTACTTCTATAAACCTTGCCTGATCTCCCTACTTCTGAGGTAGGAAGGACAGATATATATATATTTAGTGATCTGCCATGTTGATAGAGAATAATGAAGCACTCTGGAGCCAGCCTTTTGGGTTTAATCCAAGCTTTGTGATCTTGGGCAAGTTACTTAAGCTCTCTTTATTTATCCCCAAGTAATATGGAAAACAAAAAACTACTTCATTGGTTTAAAAGAGTGAATTGACACATGTTTCTGTGAGTGTTAGATGTCCTCACGGGCTGAGGGTCAGGGAGTGGTGCTAGAATTCAGAGCCCTGAGAACAATGAGGGTGATAGTGAACTTTTGAGGCATTTGCCAGGGTCAGTATGTCAGGCTCCCACTGATCACTTCTCTCCCCCTCCCAGATCTGACTTCTCCAGGGAAGCTGTGCCCCCACGTCAGGCCTCGGGAGCCAACAGTAGAGGACAGGAGGCACCTGGAGCCCATGAAGCTCACAGTGGCTCAAAGGTGGGGCAAGTGCAGAGTGTGGCAGGATATGGCTCAGGAAGCTGTTTTCTTGCTGCTGCTTCTATTGCTGCTGCTACTGCCACGCCCTGCTTCCTCATAACTATCTCCTACTGCCCAGATCTCTTTGCCCCCAGCTCTGCCTTAGGGAAGATGGGCCCAGGCACCCTGGTGTGGGATAGATGTCCTGGAGGGAAAACAATCAGGGTCTCCTGGGCTACAGAGCAACCTGGATTTTCAGGCCTTACCCCTTTCCCCAACCTTATACTCTAAGTTAGAGCAATGATGTGGTGATTCACCACTCCCTGCCTCCCCCACTGTAGCCACCTATCCACCTCCTTTTGTAATCCCTAGCTGCCAACCTGGTGGTGGGATTAGCTGAGCCAGGTCAGTCTCCATTGACTCCTCTGGGCTGGTCCCACTCCCTCTTTGTAGAGATGGGGAAACAGAGGTCCAGAGAGGCACAGAGTACCCTACCCAGGCAGCCCTCTCTCTACTGTGTGGCCAGAGTAGGCACAAAATAGGTCACTCACATGCTAGTCCCAGGTCCCAGAAAAGGATACAGGGAGGGGAGGCTGTTGACTGAGACAAAGGACCATGGAGTCCTATATGGGGTTGAAAGCGGGGCTCTTGGGACAATCACATTCCTCAGCTCTAATCAGAGAGGTCTCAGCTTACCCCCCCTTGAGCACTGGGGATAGCTAGAAGTCCAGGAGCAGAGGAGAAGGCTGAAAAACAGTCGGAAAAATCAGAGGGGATTTGAGGCCCAAACTGGGCTTATAGGGTGGGCCAAGCCACCAGTTGGGTGCCATTCTCTAATGGAAGAAAGGATTTGATTTACCTCTGCACTGAATTTAAGAAAACAAGCAAGGAATTGACCAGCCCTCCTGCCTCTTCCAAGGGTCCCTAAAGACTGCAAGGAAGGAGGTTTGGGTGAGGGAAGAGAATTACTATTTGAATGTCACCAAGGTACTAGGGACTTTGTTACATTTAATCAACATGTTTAATCCTCCCAGTAGACTGGTATATTTATTAATGTTTACCTCCATTACATGAGTAGAGAAAACGAGGCTCAGAGAAGTAAAATAGCTTATCTTGCCCTTAAATAGCAGAGCCAATATCCGATTCGTTCGTTTGGTCCCCAAACCGTGACCCATTCCCTTCTTTTCATCATTTGGCCTCCTCAAATTCCCACCCACATATTGGACTCTCCTCTCAAAACATTCTGCTACGGGGAGAGAGTCACCTGGAGGAGAAACCAGTCCTGAGATATAGGGGATATCTCTCACCCTCTGTCTTGAAGCTTGCAGAACAATCATACCCTAGGCTGAGGAACCCCTTTATCTTCCAACTTAGAAGGGACGGTGGCCCAGGTTACCTCCGCAAATACAAAATACAACCACTATTTTTATGAGTAAATCTCTCTCTCCCCTTGACCACATCCCAATCAACTACTCTGGGGAAATTTCAGCCAGTCTTCCCATTCTACTTGTTTAACTCCTTGAAGTCTTCACTCACCCAAAAGGCATCTCTGAATTGAAGCTGGGGCATCATCCTCAGGCTGCCACGACAAAGCTTTCTCTCCTCCCACAGACAGGGTTGAACGAGGTCCAGGAACCAGGCACACTGCCCCAGTACTGACAGTGTTGGCCCAGTCGTCCCCGACTTGGCTGATGCTGTCTGCAGCACCTCAGAAGACACCCACAAGCTAGAGATGAGCTGCCAGAGGGAGCAAAAGAGCTCAATCTGTTTTGTTTGGGGTTAGAATCAGCAGCAAAATGAGGAAGGAGCGCTGCCCAGTGATGAAGGGCGGGTTCTGGTTTCCGGCCCAACCCCTTGCCAGCCCCATGGTGATAGAGGACACAGCCCAGGCTTCAGGACTTAGCAGGAATGCCAGCCCCAGATGGGAGCCAGTGGCCAGAGAGAGAGGCAGGTAGGTACAGAGGCTGGGCGGGCAGGCAGCCTGTGCAGAAAGGTTTGTGCAGTCACCCCCTACGGGCAGGCATCAGGCCCCTCACCCACAGGAAGTAGAGCTGCTGTGTTCCTGTGTGTAGCTCCGCCTGCAGCCTGCAGCCTGCCTCCCTCCTGTGCTCCTCCACTTGCCTCCTTCTGATGTCCTAGTTGAGCTATTCTCAGAGGCCATAAACTTAGGGAGACTGAAATCACAGAAGGTGAGGGAAAAGAGGGGTCAGGAATCAGGAGTGCTGTTGCCCACCACCCCAGCCTCACTCCAGACCAGGTACATAAATGCTAGACTCTCCATGCCTCACCAGCAAACCATTTGGGGGTGGGGGCTTCCCTAGGATGAACACTCACTATCATTCATCAAATCCTGGCTACATGGTGTCCTAATCCACATCTTACCCTCAAAGCTTCTGGGGCAAATGCAACAGGGGTGGGCTGTAGGAACACTGAGGTGGGGTGAATGGAGAACAGCTTGAGGCTTTATGGACATCAACCTTCTGCCCACCAAGTCTCCAGATTAGACACTTTCTGAGGGCAGGAAGCCCTCTAAAGATGTCTTCAGGCCAGAAGAATATAGTTAAACCCAGAGAGACAGCATTATAATGGTATAGATGTTGGAGTTAAAAAACCCAGGTTGAGGCCCACTTTCTGTTTTGTCTGGGCCTTAGCCTTCAATAGTTGAGGAAACTTAATTGTCCCTCTAACACAATAAGTCCCCATTTCCCCATCTGCCACCCGCAATCTTTGAAAGGGAGAAAGTGTTGAGACCATTACTGGAGTTTCTGGTTTGGCTGGGCATTTGCTGGGGCACTGTTAAGTACCACCTTGAAAAGAGCCCTAGGCTGGAACCCCAGACACAGCCTGAGGAGCTATGGCTTGCCCACTAAGCTGGTGTGGGGCCTAAACCCAGAGCCAGTTGGCAAGAAGGGATGAGTCAGCTTCTTCACAAATCAGCACCCTCAAGGGCTAAGTCAGAGTTGGGGGACACCCAAGCTATTCTGAAATAGCCACCAAGAGAGAATACATCAGGGAGAATTGCTGAGCAGTAAGATTGATCCTGATAGGCCCCACCTCCAGAATCCTTCAGTTTGAGCTAACAAACACCTTCAGCATTGAAGGTGCCCCAGGTGCTTGGAACTTGAAGACAGCTGTGAACACACGAGGGTTAGATATCTACTAAGAAGGGCTCCATATGAATAACTCTACTCAAATTTTAGAAAACAGAGCCCAGCAGCCATTTCTGCACAGGGGCCTCTCACACAAACTGACTTCACAAAGAAGCTTGCACTAGTCTGCCTACACTGTGTTTCTACCATCTGAACCAGCTCTTGTAAAGGATTTCCTGGAATCAATTTCAACCAATATGATTGAGGCTTTCTCCATCCAATCAGAGCTGTGTAACTCTGACCAAACAGCGTGGCTCTATTCTGACCAATCAGGACAGTGCTTTTGGAGCAATTAAACTGTGAAGATTTGGAGTCCTCATTTACATGAAAATGAACCAATTAGGAACTAGGGGTGGGGATTCCTGGCAAAAATGCCAGCTTCCCCTCTGGCTCAGGGAATGCACTTTCCCTTTCCACTAAAGACTGTTTCCCTAGCTGAGCTGAAACTCTGAATATGTCTCATCAGAGTAGAGCAGAGCTGCCTATGGTAACTGAAAAGAGGCTTGGCTCTGGGGCAGTCACACAGCTGTGCTGTTTTCAGAGCCACGCTGACTCAAATTGAGCTGTTCCAATGCAGTGCTGTTTTCACAGCTGTGCTGTATCATTGTTGAGCTGTTTGTACTGAATAAAGTTTCTTTTTTCACCACATCCCAAATTGGGGAATTCTGTTGGTGTTTGAATCGGTGAGATCATTGGTTAACAGCTGCCATAATAGAAAAAAGAAAACAACAGCTTGAAAAGATGGTAGTGGGGGAGAAAGGGTGTTGTGGTTGGGAGGTAGTTACACCCTGCCTTCCCTATTAGAGTCAGGTTAGTCATTGTGTCCCCCTAGGCCTCAGTTTCCCCATCTATAAAGTGAAGCAGTAAGGCAACTGCAGCAGTGTGTGTCTGATTCACTTATGAAACCTAAAAACTATGCAGCCTGCTTGACTCCCATCCAGTTTGCAGGTCTAAGTTGGGGCCTGACCTTATGTTTTTCTATAGTTTCTGATAGGCTCATGTAGATGGTCTCTGAAGACCCTTTCACCAGTGCAAGCCACCTCCCTTTGACCAGTGAGCTGGTGGTGAGGTAATTTTTGGTCCTCACTGAAGGAACCCTTCCCCCACATCTACTGGGCCTATGTTTCAGTTACTCTGCTGACTGCCTATTCACCATGTTAACACCTCTTTTGTGTCTACCCTAGCTTCTGTGCCTGGAAACTCCGAATCACACTCTTGTGGTTGAAAGTTAGTAAATCTGAAAGCTACCTGTCAACTCAGAAGAGTTGTGTGCTTTATTTTTCTTCAACCCTTTTTCCAGGGCAAACTGAAAAAACAATCTATATCACATCCTGAGCACTGAGTGCCACTCCCTGAATATCAACCAAGGCCTGAGTCTAGGATGTCTCCTGGTGTCAGATTTACCATGTGGTAGCCCCACCCCTACCCCACATGGCCCCTGGTCTCTGCACTTCCTTCTCAGCTGGGGACTTCCCTTCTTTCCACTCCCTGCTCTTCATGTTTCTGCCCCAGACCCTGGCCTGGCCCTTCACCTTCAGCTCCACGCTCTAGGAATGAAGATCCCACTTAGAATAGGACTCTGACAATTAATTGCTCTCTCTGAGTTTCAGTTTTCTTATCTGCTAAATTAGGTGAGATTCAAGGCATGTGAAGTGCTTAGCATATGGCCCATTGCAGTAAAACTCAGCAGCCTATTATTATGCTGGAACTTCTTTCCTGCCTGGTCTCACCAGTGAGTTTCTTCTTATTAATAAGCCCCAGTTCCCCTCCTGTGGGAGGTCTTTTCAGCTTATGATCCTCAGCAGAGCCTTTCTCCTTGCATACACTGCTCTGCTGCTACTCAGCACACTTCTCCTCTTGGGTGACCACCCTCAGCAGATTAGCAGAAAGTTTTCCTTGTTTATGTCTATGTCCCAAGACAGGAAGGCTCAGTAAATGTAATTATGGCTACAATACAGTGGGGCTTGTTCTCTTTTGGGGCAAGGAAAGGTGGGGATGAGAGTAGGAACCCCAGCCCAGTAAACATGTGCTTCTGGCCACTCAAGAACAGTGACCCACAATGGCCAGGTACAGGAACATTCCACTTCAATTATGTGGTGAGTGAGTGAGTAGCTGAGAGCAGTATGAGTAGCAGTATGGCCAGCATCATGGCAGTGTACTCAGCTACTTCAGGAAGGAGATACAGGTGTCGAATGGTCTGCCTAGCGAATGGCAGATATTAAGACAGCATGTTCGTAATGAAAGGGACAGAACAAATGCCCCTTGAACTAGTAGCAATGCTGTTTCTAAATGAAATTCATGATAAGGGCCTTCTCGTTTCCCGATGTCACCAAGAGCTTTGAGACACTCCTTCTCTGTAGCCTTGTGCTCTCTCTAGAAGGCTTCAGATTCTTCTTATACAAAATAAGGTTAAAGGATAGGCTAGGGCCATATCATTCAGAGTTTATACTGCCAGTGAGGAGGCAGAGTAAGGACAGGACCATTGTCCTGAAAATAATGGGAAATCACAGCAAGGTGATAATGGGAAGGTACATTATCAAATCTGGGTTTGAAAATGTCATTTGCTGTGTGGAAAACAGACAGCAGTGAACAGGCTTTAGGGATGAACAAGTGCCCTACACAGGGCCTATTGCTCAGAAGGGCATGTAGGCAATTGCCATCTTGAAATTCTTAATATTATCTTTAAATTTGTTTTAAGAGTGAAGACTAATGGGACAATGAAGCATGCATCAAGAACTTGGAGCCTGCCAGGACCGGTTTGGCTCAGTGGATAGAGCGTCGGCCTGCGGACTGAAAGGTCCCGGGTTCGATTCCAGGCAAGGGCATGTACCTTGGTTGCGGGCACATCCCCAGTGGAGGGTGTGCAAGAGGCAGCTGATCGATGATTCTCTCTCATCGATGTTTCTAACTCTCTATCCCTCTCTCTTCCTCTCTGTGAAAAATCAATAAAATATATTAAAAAAAAAAAAAAAAAGAACTTGGAGCCTCGGCTCAAGTATGATCCTGCCTCCTACCCATCTCCCTTGGATGGGTTCTCAGCGTTACCCTCCAAGTACCTGCTAACAACCACTGCTACTCTCTGCCCCCAGCAGGGATACAATACCCATGGGGATTGCAATACACCATGGGAAAGAGAGATGTTTGGCTTGACTTTCCTGCCCACAGCTGGGGAATGTAGTTCGGTGGCTGGTAAGAAGGGAAACTCAGCAGCTAGTAGGTTTGATGCAGAAACAAATGAGGAGCCCTTGTCCCACAAGTATGCCCATGCCTGAGGGAGTGAAACATTAAACACCAAATAAAGCACCATACCAGGTTGAGAGAACAATGGAAAAGAAAACCTTTATATTTTAGTACTTTAAATAGGACTTAAAAAAAAATAACAGCCCCCACATTTTCTTTCTTTCTTTCTATTCTTTTTTCTTTTTTTATTGTTTAAAGTATTACAAATACCATGTTTCCCCGAAAATAAAACATCCTCCGAAAGTAAGACCTATTTACAGGTTTCCTTCTGAGTGAAATATAAGGCATCCCCCTGAAAATAAGGCCCCCCCTAGGCTCTGTCTCAGAATGAAAATTAATTTACCGTAAACTGCTCGCTAGGGCCTCCCCAACTGGTGTCTAGCAACCAGTGACGTTACTCGGAGTTCTGATGTCACTGCTGTGTGGAAGTGGACCTGAGGTCGGAGTGAGTGGTGAGCATGGGGCGGGAGAGAGGAGGAGACTTTCACAGATGCATGTAGAAGAACAGGAGGATTAGAGCAGATGGGACGTGGCGAAGGTGGTGAGTGCTGGTCTGTCTCTGGTGACACTACCTGATGCTCGCGGCTGCCCTCATGATGACTGAAGGTTCTCACTCAGTGGCAGACCCAGATCCAGGCCTCAGCAAGCCCAGTGACAGTCCCCAGGCAGGCCCCAGGGGGTAAATGTCTGATAAAGGGGTAGGGGGAATGTCTGGTGAAGGTGTTCAGTGGCACGGGGGTAAGGGGAGGGGTGTCACTTAAAATGACACAGGAGGATCAAAGGGGGCAATCAAAATGACACAGGAGGATCAAAAGGGGTTACTAAAATGGAACCCCCACTCTGATTCTCCTGCGTCATTTGATTCCCCCCACTGATCCGCCCTGTGTCATTTTAAGTGATTCCCCTCCCCCCACCTTGATACCCCAATTCCTTTTTTTTTTTTTTTTTTTAAATTTTTTTTTTACCCCTAGAAATAAGCACAAAAAGAAAAAGCT